AAAGATAGGAGTGTAAGTGGCCTTGATTTTTGAGTCTAGGTACATTTTGGGTCAGACACTCTATTTCTAAACACTTGAAGAGGAGAAAAGTAAAGGTTAAGGAACAGAGATGGCCCAAAAATAGTCTAAATACAAAATTGTGCGTGAAATGTCCTTGAAGCTGCGGTGGCTTCCAGTTCGGCTTCTAGCAAAACAAGAGGGTCCCCAACCTTACACATTCATTTGCCCCTACGGTTGAAAGTTCATATCCGTAATTAGAAGTTTTGCCTCTATGACATAAAGAACTCTCTGACAGACACCTCATTTTATTTATACCTGCTGGCCCACTGACATGGGAAGTTCCAATCAGTTGTGATGTAAATCTCAGGCGCGCCTTTCTGGGTTTTGTTTTTGCCTCACTCGGAATAGGTTGTTTTGGGAATGGCAGTCCTGGGGATGGGGGGTGGGGGGAAGTTAGAGGGAGTTAGGAGGGAGAGAAAAATGGGAGAAGGGCTTTGACCTGCCGGAGAGGAACCCCTGCTGACACGGTCAGTCTGACCCATTGAATGGCCTGAATACGATAAATGCCGCTTTATCCTGCCTTGAAAGGCACGAGATAGCACAGTCTAAATGCTGGGGCATGCTTAAATAGGCGATTCGGGATGTTTGAGTTGAGCGTGTTTGAAATCTGAGCTCACTGACAGCCTGGGAGCTGCCACAGGTCACCTGCCTTGCTCCGCAGGGACAGGCCCAGGTCTCACAAGAAATTGTCCGTAGACGAATTGTAGTACAAATTCCTTTCTTTGTTAGTTGGCCTCTTTCACTAGACCATGGCCTATAAAATTTTGTAAAAACAATTCTTAAATATTATTTGAAAGGGCAAATGGCCCACGCTGAAAGGTTTGACAGTTTGACATATAGTGCATGGTTTTGATAGCTCGGAAACTGAAAAGTGTGGCCAAGATTCTCCCCCTGCTTGTTAGAAGCCTGGTGTTTTTTCTTTTTTTTTTAAAAGAGTGTCTTGTTGCTGTGCTGGGTTCCTCCACTCTCAGCAATCTGACAGGCAGTGAGTCTGCTTCAGTGATCTTCAATCCTTTTGGACTCATTTGTGGGCTAGCAGAAAAACAGCCAGCACCTTTGAAGCCAGCGTCCAAACAGCACAGAAACCAGGTATTGCCAATTAAGGAGCCATTTGGATAATCATATCAAAGCAGATCGCTTTCGAGTCTTCTGATAACAGCCAGAGCCAGGGCCTAGGGAGAGAGGAGCCCTGAGTTTCACTTCAGTGAGGGGGAAAAAAGGGATTTCAGTGGCCCGGTCTCATCAGAGCCTGGAAGTCACAAGGAAGTGGATTTCTGTATTAGAATGTTGCATATGGGCAGCCAGGCTGCACTCAGCGCCTGCCTCAGCGGCTGCCTCTGCATAGCCAAAGGCCATTTTCAGGAGCCTCTGGCCCCTCAGTCACTGGCCTGCTAGTTAATTGCCACACGGACTTCATGACACATGGGCAGATAATATGACATTTTCGGTTTCTGTCACTAGCAAACGCCACAACGTCGCTTGCACTAGTTGCTAAGAAGCTGTCAGAAACCATTAGCAATTGGCTAAAGTCGCCCTATGGCATTTCCTCATAGCATCAGCAAAACGAGCATAAATCACCCACTGGAGCCTACTGCTATCCTAATGAGGCTGTAAGCTTGTTTATGGACTAGCATCATTTTTATGATTATTTCCACCTTTTCAGTTTGCCTTCATTTGGCGGCAGGAGAAGTCAGCTCCAGGAATGAAGTCACTGCTGACATTTTACAAATGTGGTTCAGGGCTGCTGCCTGCTGCCGTGTGGTCGGCCGGCGGTTCTCCAAGTTTGTTTAGTGATCTTAAAAATAAAAAAAGGAAATAAACCCTCCAGAGACCGCATGGAGGTGACTGTATCAAATTGCAGAGTGAATGGAAATGCTAGAGGTACAATTGACCATTTAGACTTTCCTCTGAGGTGGAGACATTGCGAGATCAATTTTCAATTTTAGAAAGTGGAAGAGGTTAAACAATTTATTAAAATCTATGAAAGTGTTTGCTTTCAGAATAGTCTGTTTTATTATGCTCTTCTCCTTCCCCATCTTCTCCATTTCCCTAACTTGTGTCGAGAAGGAGCAGGGTTTATTGTTTTAGGCCTTTCTGAACATGCACCAGTATTTACACTGGATTGAAAGCATTTGCTTCCAATGAAAATCTTGTCTTAGATTACAACCCAGCAGTGTAATTTCCCTCCCAGATGGGAGTAAAGTAGCTGTATTTGCCTAAAAACAGTAGGAAGAACAAACTGTGCATTAAGCCAAGGCTGTTTTTGGCTTGAGCTAATGATGTAATAGAAACCTTTTATTCGGGAGAGGTCACTGCCAGGGACTGAAGGGGGTGATCTGGCTCCTGCTTGAAAGGTTTCTCCATTGTATCTACATAAGTCTTCACTTAAAAAATTCTGTTCCTAATGCTTCTGCTTTCATACAGCAGAAATAAACAGGAAAGGTTCTGGTGAGTGTTACACATGGAATGCAGAAAGCCTTCCTCTCCTAATGGAGTATATAATTCAGGTGCCCTCAAGGCACGCTTTCAGGAATTCTTTTGCCTGAGGTAATGGGAAGCTAAGGCTGCTTGAAGGCCTTGATTATCTATTGATGCACAAAGCTGGAAAAAAGTCATCTCTGCCGGATTATAGTAGATATTTCCATAAATTATCAATGAATTCTCTTCTAGGCAGGCACGAGGCATTGCCTGCTAAATTAATCTGAAGGGGTTTTGAGATGGATAGAAAGGTTATTTATTTTTTTTTTTAAGGTGGAAAACAATCATGGAGAGGTGGTGAAAAACTATGTCATTAGGTTATAAGCTTTTCATTTTTAATCAATGATCAAGGAATATGTTCTTTCCTTGGTTACCTTTTGCATATTGCAAGTGGATTAGCCCATTGAAATTTTAAATGCTGTTGAGTTGTTTTCTTTGCTCATGTTTCTTTAATGAATTGTTATTTTATATGGTGAATTGCTTCTCCGAATAAAAAGCCTCTTTAAATACTGGACTTTTAAAGAATTTGTTAGGCGAATCCAAGAGGACTCCTTATAAAGCACTTGGTTATGCAAATAAAGAGTTCTGTGTGTGTGTGTGTGGGGGGGGGGTGGAAAGAACACTGATTTAGGAATGTGGGTGTCTGGTCCAGCTCAGACCCATCAGCTACATTCCAGGCTGGGTGACCTTGGGCAAGTCACCCAACGGGAACACAAGCACTTTCTTCATTGATACACGGAGGGTTTTGGAACCGTGGGTTTTATGATCTTTTCTGCTGAGAACACAGCTATGATTCTGTGGGACTTAAAAAATATATATATGGATTTTAAGGACAATAAAATTATGGATTTTACATGAATAAACATTAAACTCAGAAAATTCCTCCCACATTTTGTGTGTGTGTGGCCTATGCTGTAGTCACAGCAGAAATGTTTAAATTAGTGTGTTTTTCACCCAGCAAAGTTTTAAAACTCTAACTCAGTACAAGTCAAATCAATTTGGGGGCAATTTTCTTTTCTGGGGGGCGGTGAGGGGGTCTCCTGAGGGAGCTGTTAAGAACAATTGAGTAATGGCAATGTAAGTGCTATAGATTAGACTGGAATGGCTGAAAGCAAAATAGAGAATCCTTTTCATATGTAGGATATTTACGTCCACAGAAATAAGGAATACAGAAATTCAAGAAGCGACTCGAATGAATCTGAGGCTCGTTTCATTATACAGTCATCGGGAAACGTTTCTTACCAAAGTACCTGATTCTTTGGGCCGTTTAGGCAGCACTCCATTGACTTACGTAGCCCAGTAAATGTGCTCTTGGGGACATTTGTTACCTCATTGCTAAGCCTTACTGCTATAGCTCTTCTTTCTGGACCCACATCACCCTGTCCCTTTCGAACAGCCAGTAGCTTCCACGGAGAGCTGGGCTCCAGGTAGAGAAGCGTGTTTGACAGAAGTTAAGCTACTTTTTCGTTGAGTCCACTGTTGTCTTCCCTTTGACTTTTGTGCTAAAATACAAAGTGCTCACTTTCCATTTGTACCTTATGACTGATTTTGGACAGTGTTCCCATGGGCTGAAGTTTTTTTTTTCATCTTATTTAAATATGGCATTGTACAAGGAATATTACATTTTAAATTTGATTGTGTCACAGAGCCAGAATATTTTCTAGAAGAAACAACTTAAATGTCCTAACAAAAATCAATGGAAAAGTAGGATCCAATATATAGGAACGTGTAAGCCAGTGACTTTACAGTGAGAAAAATTTAAATCTGGAAGAAAGTTTAGAAACTGCCTGGATTACTAGGGTAATACAATTGCAAATAACAGTTTAACATCACTTTATTTGATTTAAATAGTAATTGTTTTCTAATTAAAAAACAGTTTGGGGAGTTTTCCCCTTATTAAACTTGATGCTCTCTTTCTATGGTAAGAAAAATTATATTCTATTTGAAGCATTCCTATGTCACACTGCTTATATGATGGATTACCTACATTTCTGTGGCCTAATTTAGTCTTAAGATAGATCACTTGTGGAAATAGTTGATATCTTAAATGCATCTTCTCACAAGTTGACATCAATGACTATATGTGGGATTGAATACCCAACCAGGGACAGCTAATGACTGCCACCATATTTAACTCCCCAAAAAAGAGTTACATTTAGCATGTCTCAGCTACCCGACAGAATAATTATAATGGCAACAAAGCTACTAAAGAGATTAGATATTTCCTTCTATTCCCTTTGACTTTTCGTACTGTTCTTTGGAAGACGTTCCTTAGACCTGACTACTTTTGAGCCTAGGCCTTGTTCTGTCTCTTGGTCTTGAAAAAAATTTTTTGAAAAGTACCAAATAAACTATTAACCATTTATATTGCTCTTTTGGTTTTGTTTGTATCCAAAGGCATTCTATTTGAATAAAGCATGTCAAGGTAGCATCAGTCAAAATTTGATTCACTATGTTTGCAGGTGATGGCTTGGACAACAGTGTAGCTTCCCCCAGCACAGGTGACGATGATGATCCAGATAAGGACAAAAAGCGTCACAAAAAGCGTGGCATCTTTCCCAAAGTAGCCACAAATATCATGAGGGCGTGGCTGTTCCAGCATCTAACAGTAAGTGGATTCTAAATGACATATGTAAACTAAATATGGACAAACAGTGTTGATAGAAAAAAAATGGGGAAAAGGTGATTCCCTCTGGACCTGGAATATTTCATAAATCACTGTGTTCCCACAGTTTTTACAAAAGTCTTAGCACTTGTTTCCTAGATACGTACCCCGCAATGCAGAGTTTGATTTGAAGTTCGCTATTGCAATGTTGTTAAAACTTGCGTAAGTTCTAAGGTGTAGGAGTTCCTGTGCACTTGTGATTTTAAGTATGTATGTTAATGATGTTGCTTTTCTCAGTGTGCCTCTTAAGTGCTTAGAACCAGCTCCCCCTAAGAAGAAAGGAAGATAAGCCCCAGAGAGAAGGACTTAATTTCTTCTAATGCGTTGGTGGACCTTTACAACGAATGGTCCGCGGACAGTTTAAATCTTGCTGCAATAGCAGGATGCTCACATAACTTGCTTTTAAGTGGTCTGAATGCACTGGCTGCCATTACAAAACCTTCATGTGAGTCAGAGCTGCACAGTGAAAGTTGCCCCTGTATTTAGAACTGTAAAGGAAAACAGCAATATAGAGTCAGCTCTTCCTGTGTAGTCCCTTGTGACTTTTCAAGCAGAGTAACAGTTTATATTGTCTGTGTGAGGATTGCTGTTTTCACTGCAGGAATTCTCCGGGAGATGTGAGAAACTAGAGAGTTGGGGCTTTATGCCACCGAGGGGTTTGTTTGGTTTGGTTATTGTTCTGAATGAATTTCATGTTCAAAATATTTATAATCAAAATATTGTGGTGGATATTTTTGTAAGCGCATACCGATTTCATGATATCTAAGGAAGAAGATAAAATGGAAATTTATGGGTAAAATAATATTTTAAAAATCAGCAAAATTGTTGACCAGGGGAGGACTTTCCCTACGAGGGACAAAGGATGAATTTAGACAGGTTGTACCCTAGCCTAGCCTAAGAGGAACAAATGTTAAAAATCGTGGCTTTAAAAAAAAAATGTCAGGAGCAAACTTTTTATGGTACTATTTTTAGCATAGTTTGCTTTTCATAAAGTCATTCATTTTTCAAAGTTAATTTATCAAAGTTAATTGTACATTGTCACAAATGTGTTCAGACCTGTTGACCCTTATATCCTTACCCACTTCCAAGGCCGTGGTCCTCAGTGACTCGTTCTGATACAGAGAGACAAACAGGGGTTGTTGAAAGCCATGCTGGTTCTGCTCCTCTGGATAGAGGCTGTGCCTCCAGTAACACTCGAGAGTATGCATTGATCCAGATTTTCCAGCATCTGTGAATAAAATTAAAACTGAGAGCAGCAGGAGCAGCTTAAAAAAATAATAAAAATGTTCCTATCTATCTCTTCTTCTTGTGCTGATTCCGAACAATAACTAGATGATGCTGTCCGTTTTGGAATCAGCTTTAGGGGTTGGTTAATGCTGGTAGTTAGCTGAAGATTGAGATTGTTTTGCTGATTTTAACATCATGTTAGGTTTACCTAAAACCCGATTCAGGTGCCATTACTTACCTGACACTTGTTGCATATATGCGGTTAGTTTGAGATCTCCCTCATTGCAAGTTTGCCACTGGGGATCATCTAGCACCACTGAAAGGGAGAGGAAGGACTAGGAGCTAGAGAGGAGGCATGAAAAATACATGGTGTGGCATTTGAAATCAGCAAGAGATCAGAAGTGACAACTGGTCAATGGTGCTGATGCAACCATGTGATTTCATCACCAGAGCTAACCAGCGAATCTTATCTGAAGAATGAGTGCAGGGAGGGGGCAAAATCAGCTCTGGACCCTGAAGGAATCACCACACTAGGTCTGTTTCCTATACTAACAGAAGAAATGAATAGATTTTGTCAACCTCCATTGCATCTGCAGAGGAGCTCTGGCTTTACTTGAAGCTGAGGTGCCTCTGAATAAAATATAGTCAAATATTGGTTCAGACAGAATCAGGAGAGAGAGAGAGAAGCAAGTTCTTTTAGTCATCCACCAGTTTCCTAATTTTCTAGGTTATCCCCTTGTGAAGATCCTTGCAGACAGCTGTATGAGCTTCTTTAAAAAACAAAAAATCTTTTTTTAGCAGCCAGCACAATTTTACCTTCATTGTAAGGCTTTTTGTGGTCTGTGTTCTTGGGATGATGGTAATAGAAAGTATTCTTGAGCTTGTCTGATTTCCTTCAGTTTTGGGGTCTGTGCTGGCCTGTATCTCTACCCTGGAAGGGGAAACTCATTTGTCCATGCCTCTCTGGTGTTCTCTGAATGCCCACAGAAGTTGTCTCGTGGTTTGTTGGATAGTTCCATACTCTCCTGCCCCATTCCACTGCCATCTGCTCATACAAAAATATTGGTAATTATAACGGTCTCTAAAAAAAAAACCGCTCTCATAATATCATCTAAAAAGCAAAGTTAGAAGACATATTTAAATTTTCTCCCTCTTTCCTTTTCCCAACGAGAAAGATTCTCTTCCCTTTTCGCTAATTGCAAGAGCAAATAGACCTCCAGTTACAAGGAACACCTTTCTCCTTATCTTGCTCCACTTCTTGAAGGATTGTACAGACTGCTTAGGCAATATTTATAGCCAGGAGCTGATTATATAGAATAAATTCTATGGAAAAACCTATGGAGTTTAAAGAGTTTTGCTGTGATTTGTCCAAATGTAAGAAACTAGAGACATCTCAGTACGAATCCTTTAGCAACTTTATTTAAAGTTCTGAGAGGTCTCCGGGGATGCACAATTAATTTGGAAGACTTTGTACAAATTTTAAATATAGCATATGCTTGCTATACGATTAGTGCAAGTTACTTAGAAAATTCATCTTGAAATCTCACTAGATATAAAAGAGCAATTGAAACACTGGCTAATTAAAAACAATAGCAATAACAATTTATTAGCAAATTGTAAAAACTAATCTATTAAATGCCAAAGACATATTATAAAACCTCACACACCTCTTTAAAAGCAAATTGCTATTTTTTTCTTTTTCAAATAAATGGGTCAATCTTTTCATTGGGTTTATTCAGTTAAAAAAAAAATCTGCCTTTGAAAGGGCTTTCAAGCATTTGTGTGTTAGAGGAGTAGAATAGGCCCCGAATAAAAACCCTTTCTGGATTTGCACCCCAGCTGCATAAGAAAAATGTGCCGTTCCATAGTAATCCACAGGTAGATTTAATCAGTAGCACATTTTACTACTCCAAAGAGAGAACTAAAGCTTTATTCTTGGACTCACAGTCTCTAGCAAGCTAAACTGGACATACTTGTGTATAATGAAAACAATAAAAGAAAAAGGAAACAGATTTTAAACTTTGGTGATATGGGGTAAAAGGAAATTTCAGTGATGTAAATTTCCAGTTTAGACTACTTAGTTGAACATTTGCCAGTTTTGATAGCTCGAGAAGGTTTTTTTTTTAAAAGAAACAATTCCCTGGAATTGAAAAGAATGACTGACAGATAACAAGAGAGAATTAGACAGAAAATAAAAGCATTTATTAATCGAAATGCTTGCATTTTGGTTGAAGACAAATTACTGCAAACAATTAAAAAGTACTTAATATTGGCATGTGAGTCACTATACGGTGACAATCAGTTCAGGGGCCTGTGCCACATCAGGGTTTTTTTTTTTTCCTTTTTAAGGGCATTAGTCTAACTGTAAATATAACCTACTGTGTCATAATGTTTAAAAGCTGGATGTGTTTTGCATATTACCAGTTATTTTGCTACATAGTTTTACAAAGATGTGAGCCCCAGTGAAAGTGAGTAGAGGGATAAATATAATGTTTAAGGTAAAAACCACGGGTCTTTTTGTTTTCCTACCCTAACATATTGCAGTTTTAAATATAATCTACATAGAAAAGCGGTTAATACGGTTCTTATTTAAAATATGCAGTGACACATTTTCCTGCATGGAGCTGCTGTGTGTCCCAGGAATCCAGAAAGTTAGAAGAGTGGAGGTTGTTAAAATGCATCCCTGCAGATTCAGGTGAAGAAAGCATTCAAGGGGTGACACATTTGGCACTGAGCAGTAGGGGAGGCGATCCTGAGGGTGAACTGATTTCCATGCACGTTGTCTCGGATTCCCTTTCCTTTCACTGATTTTGAGGATCCCATTTGGTACTAAAGAGACAAACTTGGTTTCTGAAGTCAGATATACATGTTTTACTATTTTGTTTTGTTTTGTTTTGTTTTATTTCTTTTTGTGAACTTCTAGCCTGGAAAAAAAATATATGTATGTATTTGTCGGTGGTCAAGTTTATGCCTCGATTTCTGATTTATAAGACTTTTCTTTCAATGTGGATGAAGCCAAAGTGAAGGGTTGTAGAATCTTCCAGGTTGAGAATGGCGTTACCATAGAAACACTATTAGATGAAAAGTGCCCTGCGGGTCCGCCACTCTAAGGATGGAGTAAATGGAATTGACTTGGGAATTGAATGCCCTAGAAGAGACAGATGTTGTTTCATTGGTTTTGCTTTTGGTAATAAGATCTGTTGGAGACATCTGAGTGTCATATCTCTCTGCTTGCAATTTTGGATGGGTTGCCCTCCAAATATTATGAATTATTGTTGCAATGAAGAAGTACTTCTAATTGGTACCCAGATAACCCGTTCTGTTGATCAAAGGTCAAAAGGCAGATAGAAGACCTATAGGCAGGCACGTAGGCAGGTAGTAGATGGGATGTGCTCTTCTCCCATTTCTATTTCTTTCTATCCCTCACCTCTATGCTTTGCCAGTTTTCACAGTGTACCTTCTTATTGTGCCTTACTGGCTATCATCCTTCTTCAGCTACCATCAGTCCTAAGAAGTGAGTGGGACAGGAAGACTATGTGCTTGAACTCTTGCCTGCAGTGTGAATCAGGGTAGTTCAAAGTATTTGAGAAAGGCAGCCTCTCCTTCAAAGTAGTCCCAGCCTATCTTCATGGTCATGTGCCTGAGCCAAGGAGGGTGGTTGGTGGAGATAGCAGCTAACTTTGATTCCTTCTTCACTACGCGTTATCTGCAGATAT